GGTGAGAAAACGAACATTCCTGCTACTTATGATTCCCAATAGAATATGCGTAATATAACACATTTTAGGGCCTAAAGCACACGTTAGGTCAAGTGAAGAAAAGCTCTGTTGAGGTCTCGGTGAACGAATCTTCAGTTCCCTCAAAATCGGACAACAAAACTGTTAGGACGGAGCGCACAGAATCCGTCGTGCCACGCATCGACCCGCGTCACACCACAAGTGCGCTCGTGGCGCCCAAGCCGAATTGACTCCTGATTGGATGACTCAGGCGAATCAAATAGCTGTCGTCCGATTGATCAACCTGTGTCAAGGTCGTGATCTGATCGGCGCGTCATCACGTCTTTTCTTGTACGCCAATTTTACCACACATATTTGCGTGTTGTTTCATGATCAACAATACACTCGTTTCTCAACCGTGTTCTTTCTCCAACTGTTGGGGGCTAGAAAAGAGGCGCACGTATCGTCCATACATCTTGGCATAAGACATAACAAAAACCTTCACCAAAGTATACGGTACCGTCAGTTGAACATGGGAAAAATAGCAAAATTGTAATACAACGGGTATGTTACATGGCGTGAAGGTGAAATTCGTCGTATGCAGAGCAGGTGAAGAAAGAACCGAAAAGCTATGAAGTACTATACAATTGTTTCCACCTGGGCGACAAAATGCAAAACGGTCTGATTAGCTTCCCGATGGTCAAGTGGGTAGCATTCTTGCGTTCTACCTCTGAGGTTTAGGGTTTGACCTTCATCTGATTCGATCGATTCGCGCTGCTGATGAAACCCAATCAGGTCGAAACAGGTGTACAGGGCTTTCTAGCCTTTTGTTTCGTGCTTTATTTCTTTGGTACACGGAGAAATCGACTCATGACAGCGTTTGTGTAGTTAATCAAAAATGATTTGAAATAGTAGGCATATGGCATGAGGTAGTTCAAGCATGAGCGACCTAAGGACAGTACTTGGCTGGTGAAATGATCCCATTTCACTTTGAACAAGTGAGCACTGTCTTACAGGATGCGGTGGTATAATAATTGGTGATAAAGACGGACAGACTATATTACTGAGGTTTAAAATAACTGGATAGATCGATGCACAGCTAATTATACCCCTATTAAGCCAACGGAACAAATCACTGAGGAGGACGGGATAGAAGATATTATGAGGGAACACAACACATGAATCGGTGCAGTTACAGTTATCATTGAGAGAAAAAACAGCTGATTCTTACGTGTTCAGTATAAAGTAGGCTGGGATAAGCATGTGCAAACTCCACTCATTGCCCTGGCAGGCATAGCCCCGATGAGCGAATTCCCATGCCAGGCGACCCAGACCAGCTCCCGGGACGAGGATTTTCACGTCAGCTGGATTGCTGTTAACAACAACAAAATAAAAACATCCAGTCACAGTACGTGAAGAGCAAACAGGCTACCCTGGTAAACGCAACCGCGCGCACACACAATACGAATCGATGAAACTAATTACAGCAAATCAACCCATTGGTTACAAAATGATAAGCCACATGGAAAACGATGATCGAACAAAGATTTAAACGTGGACGTTGCAGGATGCAAGGGTAGAATGAGATACGACGAAGAAAATATTACTTTGTGAGCTTCTGCAATGATCGATTGATCAGCCGAGTAAACACATCACAAAGAAGCCATTGGACGTTGAAGCAGAATGCATGGAGTTGTATGGGTAAAAATGCTTCCCAATGTCCGACAAAAAAGGATATAAAGGGTTTCTCGAATCCGGAGCTTATGGTTTCCCAAAACCTGACCCCTTACGCGGTCCATGATCCGGAGCTAGCTAAGTCGGTTCTTCTCATAACAACTTTGCTGTATGCCTTTTGTCGAACGGTTTCTGTAGTCGATACCTGTTCAAGACTTATTCTTTTATCTTGGCAAGCAATTATTAAATTGTCTCCCAAATTTATCAACGGTAGTTTGCCCAACCCCCGATATTTATTTCACTTTGGATTTTAAAACCATTAACCATCCACCTTTGTACGACAATTTCTGCTGTCTGTCGGGACGAAGGGAAAGAAGGAAGATTGGAATGCCGAAAGCGTTGCCAAACTGAAAATAGAGAATTCAAGAAGATCAATGTTCTAATCACACTGAGTGGATGCACAAGTGCCGCTGGTTACGACAGTCATATCACTCAGTGTCTCTAACCATTGATTACGCTGATCTCGACGTCCCCATCCAAGAAGCCCAGATGAGCATGTGTAATGATCAGTTTCCATACCATCATGACAGGCACTAGTTTGACCAATTGCTTTTTTCCATCCACTGGTTGCCTCGGTACACATGACAGGTCGTGGCATGCGAAACATGCCCCAACCCACGTAATTTATGGAGATCGACTGGATCATTTGATTACATTGCGTTGTAAAATCATTGTTGGGCAAACTTGTATTCGGCTTAACAAAGACGTTCTGGACAATTTCCGCGCCAATTCTCGAAGCTGCTTATGAAAGAGATTACAAAGGTGATTACAAATAATCTACTACGAATTATGACATCTCACATGGAGACCTCGCTCGCCCTAATGAACAAGTTCAACGAAACAAAACATTAATTTCTTGGTTCTTTACGTGATCTCCAATTAGTATGCCGAATCAAATTTGAAAACTTCTCCAAAGCAACTCTCCAAAAGACAAAAGAACAGTGGAGAAATCGCACTGTTCAAACCCACGAAAGAGTTCATTTGTCTCCCATACAATCGTCTGAACACGTATACAATCTCCCATCCACAACTTTCACACAAACACAAAATGACTTTTTATCACTGGGGATGAAGCTCTAGATTCCATCAAGAGAGATTGAGTTTCCACATTCAAGTTCAACTCGAAAGCTTCTACGATCAAGTGAAGGACCTTTCACTCACACCAGGAGAAAACAGCGGGTGGTTCCGTACGAAAATGTTAGCTATTTCTGATGTTTACCTTGTGGCTCCGATTCGGCAACACTGCTGTCCTACCCCCAAACACCACAAAACAAGACCCGAAACAAACATCCCACCTCATATTCCTGAAGCCTGGCAAAGGATCTGATACAGTGATCATGGCCAGGCACAGTTGTATAGATAAAATGATAGAAGTACTGATGGACGGGAGTAATTTTCTAATAGAAACAATCATCTCACTGAAAATCTTATCGAAAGAAAATTACAAATTCTGTTACTACATGGCTGAATATCTGAAACCCAGTAGAAACAACTGAAACTAATGGGAACAGAAACACCGAAAATGAGTGGCCCGCCAAAAATTTAAGATATCGAAGCAAATTCCCACGCCGTATAGACAGAAAACACATTTTGATGTTGGCCTTCTCACTAAAAAGATTGTGACTCGACGTAATAAAGCTTATCAGTTACAGCGATCTTTAGTTTTTTTCCAATCTCGTTCAACCGAATAGGTACCAAAAATACAATAACCAAAGTTGTTGCACCGCAGTGCAAATTTATTAGCTGTATCAACTGCAACTCAAGTGGGACAAACTCACTTAGAAGTAAAAAAAATTACGTTAAAAGAGGACGCCTGGCTTTCAGTACTTGGAATACTGCAGCATTAAGACTCACGTAACGTGTTGAAACAAATTCACGACCTCATCAATAACGGGTTTATAGCAAATCTCCCGCTCTTTTGCCCCGACTTCAGACCAATCCCGAGCGAATTGTTTCAGTGTGGATCGGACCTTATCCATATCTGTGGTGGTGAACGCAAACGGTCCAAACTTGACTGCATGTGTGGCTCGTACTGGCTTGTTCTCGGGACTCAGAAACTTGGACATACCGGCCGCATCGCTCAAAGCTTGCAGATCGCTACCCTGTGAGGAGGGGGATAGCGGAAAGGTTTTCGCCGTTCAGTTTTCTTTCTCATTGGTACTTACGTGTTCGCCACCGAATATGTCCGGAGCGGAATTCTGAATGATTGTATCCAAAAGATTGCTGTTATGATTCACACAGGACTCAATCGCATCCAGTTTTGTCCTGAATTCTGGTACTAACTCCTGATGTTTAGAACTGAGCGACTTGAAATACGAACGAGATTTCTCGATTTTCTTCCGCAAGTGCATGCTGTTGATAGGAAGGACATTGAGGCACGTCAAAAGGGAACGGGATGAAAAATTCCTTACCCGTAAAACTTGAATGAAGCCAATGTTTTGATAAAATGTTGCCGATCCAATTCGAGTTCTTCAATTTCTTTATCCCCAGTGGACATGGTGATCGAGATACTGTTCAAAATTAAAGTCAACAATGTTTTGCGGCAACCAGTTTTGGCTGAGCGAGTGTTTTAGACCACAATTAGGAAAACTAAAAAGTAAGGTTTCGTTATGATCAGAAGTAATTCTTTGTGATTAAATGCGATTTACTTCTCAAATAAAAGTTCCAACATTAACAACGGCAACCTTCGCATTTTTATTGCAAGACAAGCCAACTTCACGGATAGGTACTCAAGGAAATTGGCGGGAACAGGAAATGGAGTGGTGCCCCAGCACTATTTGGGGTTACTATAGTGACTGATCGCCCAGTCCAGAGTTTTCAGTTTGTTGGAACAACTATTACCCATGCACTTTCGTGCGCCAGTTTTGGTTGCCCAGTCCAGAGTAGAGGGTAAACTAATGACACTTCATTTGGCCTATTCGTTCGAGGTGGCATCTTCATTATTTTCAAAGGCAAGTGTAGCCTGCAACAAATTGGGGTTAAGCTAGGCAAACCGGTCACTTTAAGAATACTATTTCGGGTAGATAGCACACAACAGCTGTTATCTCATTTAGTGGCGGATCACAATCACTACGGTACACGCTGATCAAAAGACCGATGAGGTGCTTAATAGCAGTGTTAATCAGACGAGAACCCACGGCGTCCTCAACCCCTGTCACTTACGGTTTCCGAAGACCTAATTACTGAGCCTATGCTCACCTTATTGACGATCAATTGGTGACTGACATCTTGGCTACAACCTGGGCCTCGAAGACATCCGTATAGTCGGGGATGGGTGTCTTGAGTCGTGGTTGATCACCCTTCCCTTGCGCCTCCTATACGACCAAGAGTCTCAAGCACCTTCTGTTGAAGAAGCCCCGCTCATCGCCTTCGCGTGACGATGTTTTACCACCCAATTGAGAGGACGAAATTCAACATCCGGGGTTATAAACGGGCCGGCGAACCATTGGTAGTTAATCAAGGAGAGTTGGCTAAGAACCATGATTCCAAACCAATCAAGAAGATG